ACTACTGTAAACTCTTGAACCTTATTTGCTTTCTAATACAATTTATGTAAAAAAGGGTCCTTCTTCAAACCCTGACTCAAGCTGGCAGTATACATATTCCCAATCCAGATAAGGATGACTCATTAGTACAGTCTTAGCGGCCTGTTACACTTCTTTTTTTTCCCCTGTAAATTTCAGACCATACCAGCCTATTAATAGTTTTGAATACTTCATTGTTTATGGCTTGGTATAATAGTCATCATAAATGTTTGCTGGCTCATCCCCTAACCCCCCTATATTGCTCATTATGTAAAACTACAATACTTTATTAAACCATAAAACCTCTTTTATTCCCTGTTCTATTAGTACTCCTTAAAGGGTACCAACCTTACTGGATAGAAAAAGTAAGAGGAGGGGAAACCCAAACAAATCTTCATATACAATGCAAAAAAAAAAAAAGTAACCTCATTCATACCACCATTCACACCATACATTCCAGCAGTGTCAGTCATCTTTATTACTTTCCTGGGAATAATGTCTATTTAAGTCTTGTTACTCTAGGGTTTATTGAATATCTATTGTCAATTCCCTCTCCTGTTGCTCCAATATTTTTAGCCAATTTGCCCATTTATCATACTCCTTATATTGATTTTTAATTTTATTCAGCCCTATTTCCATTTGAACGGCACCACGGTATTTTAGTTGTTGAGTGAGCTGTAGCTTGTTGAACGACTGTGTCTTTTTCCAATTTCTGGCAATGATAATTTTTGCCGCTACGAGACAGTTTGTTGTCAGTACTTGTTTAATTTTGCCAAGAAGAGGCCATCTTAAGTGCAACAAACTAATGTCTGGTCTGACTTTTATTTTTATATCATTTAGTCAATACAGTAGTGATTTGACCATAAGCCATATGGGGAATACTTTTTTACAACTCCACCATATGTGGATAATAAGTCGTTATTATCGTTTCAAATTCTGGAAATTTTTGAAGGTACTAGATACCATATATTGATCACTTTGTAAAATGTTTCAATTAAAGAGAGGCTGTGCACGTATTTATTTATTTTAATTATTGCTTCATACCATTCTTCTAAGTCTATGGGGCAGCCCAAGGCTTTTCCCACAACTTTTAATTGCCGTTGGGTGGTTCTCAGTTTTTTTAGTATCTAATAATTTTGTACATTTAGCAAAAAGATTCTTTGAATCCTTCCTATTAAATATTGATTTTTAACACATTGTATATTTCCCCATTGTTCAAGATTATTTTGTTCTTCGGATAATTCTTGACTCTTAAATATGAGATAGCCTCTCGATTTTGAAGGGACATTGTCCTTATTAATATGTCTTTATTAAATCTTTAACATTTACAATATTTACATCTCTCCAGGATTTTAGAGAAATATCTGTTATATCCATTTCAAGACAATCTATACTTTGAAAACCCAAAATCTTATTCTTAATATCTATTTTCTTTTTTCTTTTTTCCCCATATGGGAATTATTTGGTTCAACACAAATGATAATGAGTAATCACAAACTTTACTATTCCATATTGGGTAAATTTTTGGTTTGGCATAGATCTGATTCTATCCTACACCATGCCTCCTTTGGATGTATCTCTTTCTGCAGCATTGTAATATGGTAGATTATCCCAGCTTCATAATATCTTTCGATATTGGGGGGAGCCTAATCCTCCTTTATTTATGTTGCAGCTCATTGTATTCATTTTTATTCTAGGCTTTTTTCCCCTACAGACAAAGTTGGCAAAAGAGGATTTGATCATTTTTAATCATGCTATAGGAATTATTAATAGCAACATCCTAAACAAATAAATCTACTTAGGAAGAACGGAGGATCTCAGAGTGTTGACTCTACCCCACCATGATATTTCTAAATGACACCATTCTTTTAGATCATTATTAGTATTTTTCAAGAGATGCATAAAATTTGTTTCCATTATTCTTTCTAAAAAAAAATTTATTCTAATCCCTAGATAGACTAATTTTTATGGTTGAGAAAGTTAAATCTGTTTTGTAGTTTTTCTATTTTATCCAGAACTATGTTCTTATACATTGCAATAGATTTGGATACACTTCTTGATCAAGATATACAATTGAAGATTATGGTAGCTTTAGTGTACTAATAATATTAATTTTAATATTGGCAGGAGGCAAGTATTTTGCATAATCTTTCTTTACTAACTCCATAGCAGCAAATAAATATATAGGAAAAATTGGTAACCAATCATAGACAAGCATAGGCATACGTCACTTTCTGCTGTAAACATAGCAGTTTCAGAGAAACTGCTATGTTTATTAATGGGTTAAGCCTTCCCCCAAAGCCTCTAGTGGCTGTCTCATTGACAGCCACTAGAGACGCTTGCGTGCTTCTCACTGTGATTTTCACAGTGAGAGCACGCCAGCGTCCATAGGAAAGCATTGTAAATGCTTTCCTATGCGACCGGCTGAATGCGCGTGCAGCTCTTGCCGCGCGTGCGCATTCAGCCGACGGGGCGGAACGGAGGAGGAGAGAAGGAGGAGAGCTCTCCGCCCAGCGCTGGCAAAAGGTAAGTTTAAACCCCTTTCCCGAGCCGGGCGGGAGGGGGTCCCTGAGGGTTGGGGCACCCTCATGGCACTATAGTGCCAGGAAAACGAGTATGTTTTCCTGGCACTATAGTGGTCCTTTAAGGTAACCTTGTCGGGCTGCATGGGTCCGAGACCTCAGCTTGCCATTCGCCCAGTACGACACTGTATGCGGTATATCACGCTAATCGTCCGAGGACAGGTCTTGCGTATGCCAGTTGTTGCGATGTTGGTTAGCATTTAAGGGGTGTCTTGCCTTTAGCAGACTTAGGCCTTGCACGTCCACCTTTCCAGTGATGTACACTGATCTGGAGGAGGAAGTGGAGCTTTCGGAGTCGGCCTTCTGTAGAGAGCGCTTTGAGACCCATTTATGCGGGTCTAGTCCATGGAAGCAGCCACAGGGTCCTGGGATTCCTAGATATTATATCGGAAACAAATATATAGAATGAGGTTCACCTAAAAGTAAATAATGTGGGAGTTATGGGCAGATATATGGGCTTTCAGATCAAAACACAGTAGGCACAAGTGGCAGGGTGCGGGTCAGGCAGGAGGGAATACCAGGGACTCAGTGATCTGACTGTAATGGTAAAAAAAATAGGCAACACTGTGGCTCACCCAGGTATCAGCAGCCTGCATGCACAGGCCCTGTTCAACAGCACAATGTAACAGAGTTCACCCCAGCCAGTAATCCAAGCTAAACTCACTGGCATACACCTCACAAGTATCAATGCCAACCTGATCCAGAAACCATGTAGTAAAGCAGTGTGCCAAGTAATTGATATAACAGTAGGTCCTCAACTTTCTGTTGGATGTAACTATTAGCAAATGTACATTTTACCCTGCAGCATGTGTAACCCATAAAAAAATAAAAAATAAAATAAAAATACTGTAGACTGAGGGAGATACCCAGAGAGGAAAATGGCTGATTGGTCTTGCTACAAACGCGATTACATCATAGCCGGTGGGAACCCAATAGAGATTTGTGGCGAATAAGCTGAAAATGCCGAATGAATTCATATTAAAATGTCAACACTACATACAAGCACACCTTGTCCTGCCATCCCTAGCTTGGAATGGGGTTCTGTTTTGGGGATGCAGGTACAAAGGGGGCCATTCAAACTGCTCTCCCCTCTAATTTGGGTTTGCAAGGTTGAGGTACCCTTGTTTTAAAAAAGAGGATTTGTCCATAGCCCTCTGTTGATTAAACTGGAAAATGCATTGATTTGTATTATCACAATATGCAAATTAGGAAAGTGCTTGTGTATATGTATATGTCAGAGTGTGTATCTGTGACTGTGTGTGCATGTTTCAGGGCAAGTGCATGTGGAATGGTGTGTTTGTGTGTGCATCTGTGTGTCAGGGAGTGCAGCATGCATTAGCGTGCTTATGTGTCAGTGTGTGTATGTGTGTGTCAGTGTGCACGTTACAATCAGTGTGCAAATATCAGCGTGTGTATGTGTCAGTGTGTACATGAATTTGTGTATGTCAGCGTTTATTTGTATGCATCTGTGTGTTAATGTGCATGTTTATCTGTGTAAGTATGTACAGTAGTAATTATTTAACCTGCATTGAAAATCAGGTTTATTGACAACATTTACAAACATTCAGGTGTTGCCTCTGTAAATTTTGAAAATAAACCTGATTTTTAATGGGGGTTGAATCATTTTGATTATGACTCTATATGTATGTTGCAGTGCATGTTTGTATGTGCATACACAGTGCTGGAGGGAGCTGCAGCTCCAGGTCTATGCCTATGGAATGGGCCCATTGATATAAAAAAAAAAAAAAAAAAAAATTATATATAATTTTAATTTTCTTTTTTTTTTACACTACTCTTCACATGTTCTTGCTTAAAACTGAAAACGTAAGAAGTAGGGGAACAAAACTGGTGTGGACTGACTGACTTAAGTTAGTTAAGGTTGCCGACTTTGCGTACTATGCAAATGCTCTAGCTGCTTCAGTCTTTCTAACACTGTGGCATGTTCCCTTTCTTCTACACTCACTACATACACTTTTTCTCTGTCATAGACTGTATAACAGCCTGTTAGTAAGAAGGTTAGGAGCAGAGAGGGCCAGCTAGTGTTAGAAAGCTAGTGTCCTTAGAAAGCGTAGAGCTAGTGCATCATTACATGCATTGATGCCAAGCGCAGGGTGCTGTTTGCACAGTATGCCCATGGTTGGTTATCCTGCATGATTGACAGGCAGCTTGGCGTGCATTCACGCTAGGCTGACTGTTAGGAAGTGAAGAATGCCTAGGTCAGCAATAGTACTCTCATATGCCATGGACTTTCATCAGTTTGGAACTTTCTGTATTTCTCCTCATCCCCAACCAGTTGGTGAGAAGCCCCAATGAACGAGACAACACAGTGTAAGGTTTAAGGTGCTTCTGACGTTTAATAGGTGGTACTACAGATTATATTCAAAAGGAAACAGGGGTGGTCTTATAAACAATATCCAATAATAACAAATCATCTATCTTATCTGAACATATTTTAACCTATAGATAGCTAGCTGGTGTAATGGTGGAGTACTCTTTATTCTCATGTTACCATACATGGTCAAGCCTTGCACTAAGCTAAATTTCAGTTTATCTATGCTGTTAGAATTGAGAAAGTTAACTACACACTTACAATTAAATATGTTGCCACACAGTTAGGAATACAGAAGTAGAAAACAGGAAATAAGACCAACCCCCTTTAGATAGTGAAGTTTATAGTTCTCTGTCTAGGGTTATATTCACTAAGCATTACATAGGTAAAGTGCATTATTCCCATCAATTCTATCACTGACCATCTAATTCTTCATGCCCCTTTTTTTAGGCATGCTTGTCCCTTCGGGCAGTTCTGGTTATCTGATTCACATCAGTGGCCCAACTTTTGATCCTGCTTCACCTGATACTGCTTTTAGTGGGTATGGATTTACTTGAAAAATAAAAGCGAGAGATTAGCATAGTGAATTGGAAAAAAAGATCACTAATGTGAGGATTTTGGTTATTCATTATTATATGTAATACTTAATATTTCCAAGATTCCAAAATTCCCAAATATCTAAATTAATACCAGATATCTAAATTAAAACTTTACAGGTTGCTCCCAAAGTTACTTATGAAATAGAGGGAATCCAAAATGTAGTCCACTCACCATGTGGACTATTCCAAAATGGAGTTAGTCACATGGGGCATGAAAATAACACTCTCCTAAAAGTATTACCTCAACAAATTTCTAAATATAAGAAAACAAGTACACTCAAAGAGGTATGATTTAACAATTAACATCCAAACTGAAACACTCTGGTAGTTGTGTAAAGATATATAAAATGTTTATTATATATGGATACAAAAAAAAAAAACCAATATATACAACAGTTGTCGAAACGTATATACTTCATCTAACAATGCAATGCTACAGCAGCAATTTATTTACCAACATAAATGTAAACTGCAATAACATCACACTGCTATCTACAAATCAACCATTGTATAGGAAATAAATGATTTTGCCCCATCAGTGTTATCCAAAAATATGCTTTTTGTTTATTCAAAGTACTAAATAGTAATTTGATTAAACTAAAATGAACTAAAGTTAATAATAAACAGCGATAGAATAAACTTATCAGTGCCAAACACAGATCATAAAGAAATCCGCTGGACAAGTCTTCTATCTGGTTACTTTGCTGGCCTGCTGCAATGTGTTCTCTACTAGGCAAGAAAAAAAAAATGGTTCCACTCTCCAGCATGTGGCTTCACCTAATAAAAAGGACTGAGCATGTGTGCCATTTCACGGGGAGGAGTCAGGCATCCATCTTAGCTGCATGGCACAAAGAAAGTCTCCAAAAAGGCGTTCACTCCCTCTAGTGGTATAATTCTAAAACGGCACTAAATGACAATAAACTGTATTAAGCGATATCTAATGAATAAGACCATAAACCCATTTCCAACACACATGATTTCTAATAGCTATATCCTCTAAGTTCCCCTCCAGCACCACCTCCACCAGATACATAACTCTTGGGAGTTGTAAAGGTTTTAGTGTTTTCTGTTGAAAAGATTTGTAATTAGGCCCATCAATATTGACAGCACCAGGCTCAAGGGGTTTTTAATCTGGCCCTGTGCATGCATCCAAGCAATCAAACGCCAACACAACGTGCAAACACACTCCTGAAAGCGAACACAAATATTACATGCAAACACACTAATACATTCAAACTACAAAATTATATACAAAACACACTCCTTCACTCAAGCACCAATACTACACACACATGTACATCCACATTTAAAAGTCAATATTACATACAAACACACCCCATGCAATCAAATTCAAACATACCCCTGTATTAAAACACTGAAATTACATGTCCCTCCATTTAAACACCAATGCTATACACAAAAGCACACTTTGCAGACACTACATACAAACACACCCCTGCATTCAAACGCAAGCACTATACACAACTACATTCCAATGGCAACAGTACATACAAATACACACCTACATGCACACATTTTCTCTATACAAAAGCATGCTTACATTCAAACGCACAAACACTGCTCACAAATACTATAATGGATGGGCAAATGGTAGATCCCCAGCTGGAATAGCATCATTGAAGTGGCATGACAGATAGGAATCAGCCTTTTGGCCACCACTCTTGCACTACACAGGGGCACAAAAAGTTTTTGCACTAGACCCCTCTCTACATTAGTTCCACCATTTTAGAACAGTTTAACTGAAGCTCACTGGCTGAGTGTTCAGGGGCTAAGAGGAATCAACCCAAAGTAGTGGATAGCACTAAATGGGTTTCTTAAAAAGTGTAACACGTATGATAAAAGAGATCTTATAACTCAGCAGCAATCACCAAATATGTGTAAAACAATCCAATATCCAGAAAAAGATGTTGCATTAGAGTATTACTATGTGTATCTAGTATATATATATATATATACATATATATATATATATATATATATATATATATAAAATACAAAAATCCCCTGCACTCACGTCCAAAATCCTACCACCGGGCGCAAACACCAGGGCTCCACGTAACACAGACTCCAAAGTGGCAACGGCTGCTCTCCGGTTTTACAAAAGTTTTATTGAATCATAATAAAAGCAATGACCGACGTTTCAGTCCCAACTCGGGACTTTCCTCAGGGTCCAACAAAACAGAATATTCTGGATTCAGTTATTCTGTTTTGTTGGACCCTGAGGAAAGTCCCGAGTTGGGACTGAAACGTCGGTCATTGCTTTTATTATGATTCAATAAAACTTTTGTAAAACCGGAGAGCAGCCGTTGCCACTTTGGAGTCTATATATATATATATATATATATATATATATATATATATATCTCTCACCAGTAAACCTTCATAAAAAAAATCATCTGAAAAGATACATATATAGACAATATAGTGCAGACCATCTGATTTTAAAATATTCTTGTAGTGCACACATAAATAGAAATTTGGGAGTTCACACTTACATTTCCCAGAGCCTAATGAACCCTGGCTCTCGGTGTGATAAGCTTCTATGGAGAGGGAAATATTCCCACAATCTGGTTCCTCAGAGAGACCAAACTTTCTTCTGCAGCACTGTATGGGAAACAGAACCAGGAGCACACCAATGGCACAGTATAAAAAGATATATTTATTGTAAAACAATTAAAACTGCTTACTCAGCAAGATGTGGGCTTGTGACAAACAAGTTTCCACGAAAAGCGTTTGTTTAAAAGTCAATTGCTCCTGTCACTTCCTTGTTCCTGATCCTTGCTCCGCTCCCTTATGACGTAATGTGTTTCACCCATGTGACCTGGGCTTTTCATGCTGCTTGCTGTCCATTTGTATCCAAAGCTCCGCCCCCCATTTGTTTCTCATTGGTTGGATTCACACAGCTTGTAAATCCCTCATCTCTTGCTCACTTTGTTTGTCCTAATGGAGCTCTTATGATTCTAACCAGTTACAGCTCACCATATATACAGCTCATCCATTAACATAATAAGTATACACACGAGGAAATAAAGAAAAACATCATTATTCTCTAGATAAGTACATTGTCCTCTACCTTATATTGCAATCACCAATCTTATATTAAAGGAACACTATAGTCACCTAAATTACTTTAGCTAAATAAAGCAGTTTTAGTGTATAGATCATTCCCCAGCAATTTCACTGCTCTATTCACTGCCATTTAGGAGTTAAATCACTTTGTTTCTGTTTATGCAGCCCTAGCCACACCTCCCCTGGCTATGATTGACAGAGCCTGCATGAAAAAAAAACTGGTTTCACTTTCAAACAGATGTAATTTACCTTAAATAATTGTATCTCAATCTCTAAATTGAACTTTAATCACATACAGGAGGCTCTTGCAGGGTCTAGCAAGCTATTAACATAGCAGGGGATAAGAAAATCTTAATTAAACAGAACTTGCAATAAAGAAAGCCTAAATAGGGCTCTCTTTACAGGAAGTGTTTATGGAAGGCTGTGCAAGTCACATGCAGGGAGGTGTGACTAGGGTTCATAAACAAAGGGATTTAACTCCTAAATGGCAGAGGATTGAGCAGTGAGGCTGCAGGGGCATGTTCTATACACCAAAACTGCTTCATTAAGCTAAAGTTGTTCAGGTGACTATAGTGTCCTTTTAACATTTGTCTTTTCTTCTTATATTCCTATTGGCTTTAGGGTAGTAAGGGGACTATCTACTAAATGTGGTAAAGTTTAAAAATATGTCTTGTAAGAAAATAGAAGCGTATTAGCCTCCAGGCTATATATAAACTTGATACAGAGAAAAATAAAATAAAAATTCTTCTAAAGTGAAGAAGGGGATTATCACCTATATAAAAATAATTAAGAAAAGGGGGATTGTCACCTAAATAATTTTTTTTACACTCAAAAAGACAATGTAAAATGAAGATGCAAATCTCTACTGGGCATGTCCAAATATAACATCCCTAAATCATATAATATGTTGAAGGTTGATGCAAAACCAGACTCTATTCAATAAATAATTTTATAACCAGCCGTTGGTTTTATGCAACCACAAAATAGGGTAAGAAACCTCAATATCGAATGTTATGTTTACTTAATCTATAAGCCAATAAGCAAATATATTCAGAAGGACAGACCATACCAATCACCAAATCCCTAATTTTCTAAAGGTTGCTTAAAGGAAGACTCCATATAAAGTCTTTTTCTTGAAAGGGGTAAATCATAAAAAGTAGCATAACTCAAAGTCGCTATTTAATCCGGTGGGGTATAAAGTTTTAAGTTTGAAAATCCACCTCATTTCTTGTTGTGCTAGCAACTTATTAAAATCCCCCCCTCTCCAATCTTTTTTTTATTTTTTCGATCCCTAAAAAGGTCGATAGTTTGGGATCTCCTTGATGTTTTTTAAGGAAATGTGAGGACAGGGGACACTCTTTAAAGCCCTTTCGGATATTCCGTATATGCTCTTCCACTCTTATATGTACTTGTCTAGTTGTCTTGCCCACATACTGAAGATTACAGGGGCATGTTAACCCCTTAAGGACACATGATGGAAATATTCCGTCATGATTCCCTTTTATTCCAGAAGTTGTGTCATTAAGGGGTTAAATGTATCCCGCAAATCAGAAATTGACTAAGCAAAGGAGTAAGTTAAATCTGAGGTTGGAAGTCACTCTCAGTGAGGAGAGTAAGTGCCTTGTACTCGCTGCACTATAATCTTTACAGTGTAAGGTGTTTAGAGTGACCGTTTAAAGGACCACTATAGGCACCCAGACCACTTCAGCTCAATTAAGTGGTCTGGGTGCCATGTCCCCCTAGTTTTAACCCTGCAGCTGAAAACAAAGCAGTTTCAGAGAAAACTGCATTTTTGTTTTTAATAAGTAAATACAATTTTTTGTATGGCAAGTGATTAGGTGTTTTATTTTATACTCTTTTCCTGTATTACCACCTATAAAATTCTTTTTTTGTTTCTTTATGAGTTCCTGTACTCCTGCATGCCAGACAATAGCCACATTTAAAGAAGCCCTCATCATTGTTTAAGAAATTATTCTCTCTTTCCCCACTTACTGTATTAACCCCTTCAGGACGGAGTCAATAGTACACGTTCTGATCAAAACAAAATGTAAACAAAAACTGGAATTTGTGCTATGTCTGTTCAACCGTAATTCACCTCTTTCATATTATATGCACCCACACTTATTATATATCATTTTGTTCATGAGAAACTGGGCTTTCATTTCCTATCAAATATTTATATATGAAACATAATTTATTATGAGTAAAATAAAAAAAAACTGTGAGAAATTTAAATTTAAAAAAAAAAAAAATTTGTAGTTCCGCCTCACATTTTAGCTGTAAATGTCATAATACTGTTAGCTTTTACTGCAAAAAAAGCACATATTTGGATTCAGCAAAGTCTCACGAGTACAACAGTAGCCCCCATTAACAGTTTTTACGGTGTTTTGGAAAGTTAAAGGGTCAAATATAGCACATTCCATTTTTCTGTTTTTTCACATTGAAATTTGCCAGATTAGTAATGTTACCTTTGAGACCATGTGGTAGCCCAGGAATGAGATTTACCCCCATGATGGCATACCATTTGCAAAAGTAGACTACCCAAGGTATTACAAGTGGGGTATGTCCAGTCTTTTGTAGTAGCCACTTAGTCACAAACACTGGCCAAAGTTAGCGTTCATATTTGTTTTTGTGTGAAAAAACAAAAAACAAATATTTAGCCAGTATTTGTAACTAAGTGGCTACTAAAAATGACTGGACATACCCCGTTTGCAATACCTTGGGTTGTCTACTTTTGAAAATGGTATGTCATCATGTGGGGTAATTCTTATTCCTGGGCTACCATACGGCTCCAAAAGGCAACATAACCAATCTGGCAAATTTCAATGTGAAAAAAATTAAATGCAAGCCTTATATTTGACTCTCTAACTTTCCAAAACACCATAAAAACCTGTACATGAGGGGTACTGTTTTACTCAGGAGACTTCGCTGAACACAAATATTAGTGTTTCAAAATGGTTACTTGTAGTACAACAATAATATCGTCAGTAAAAGTTCTATTCATGTGTGAAAAATGCAAAAAACTTCACTTAATTAAAAAGGGTCGTGGTTTTTTAATATTATCTGAATAAACTTTTTTATTTTAAAGTCCGGAGAGCAGCCTTCCTTCTTGTTGATTTTTATATATATATTATTTGTTATTAATAACAAAATACAGTTAGAATGAAATTACATATGTATATATAATTTATTTATATATTTAAAATATTTTATTCATTTATTTAATTATAATTTTATTTATTTATTATTGTAATTATACGTGTCTATATAAATATAAAATATATATAGATGTATTATATATATAATATATATATATATCTTATATATATGTAACGTCATTCTAAGTGTATTTTAATACTATTATATGTACTTATATTAATATTAAAATACACTATGTATGACATTACATATATATAAGATGTATATATATATTATATATATATTTTATATATACATATATACACATTTATTTTATTTTAAAACATGTCTATTTTTTTTTTTTTTACTCTTCCCACCAGCAGGGGGACTGTCTACATTTCTATGCCACCGCCACAGCTTTAAAGCCCATTTAATGCAGGACGGCATAGAACGCCGTAACGGCATTAAGGGGTTATAGCTACTTTACACTAATTTTGATTTAATACTTGGAACACTTCTTTAGATAATATGTGGTTTTGTTCCAATGATACCTTGCAGTTGGGGATCTTCAGGTAGGATGAACCAATACTTGTTTAGAATCTTTCTAAAGGCCTTTTCATTGCCTTAATAGTCAAAAATGAATGGCACATCTTTAGTACTTTCTTTGTTGTTATTTGTGTTCTCCTATTTCTGCTTACCCTTAATTAGTTCCGACCTATTCATATGGTGCACTTCTTCAAATGCTTTTTTCATTATACTTTCAAAATAATTTTTTCTTTAAAGTCCCCTATACGTTTTTCTGCCTGTTATGTGAACTCTTCCAAATAGGAGCAATTCCTTCTTACCCTCATAAATTGTCCCTTAGGGATATTTATGACATGGACCGTAATGACAGCTATCCGAAAAAATAAAGCTGTTAACATCAACAGACTTAAAAAGTGCATATCTGTCCATCTCTGATGTATATTTCCAAAAAGTGGACCTGTGTAGCACTATGGTCCATGGTGAGTTTAATGCCCCAGGAATTTGAGTTCAAGTAAGCTATGAATAATAGGAGGTGTTCTTCAGACCCTCTCCAAATAAGAGCTCCATTAGGACGAACAAATGTGAGCAAGAGATGAGGGATTTACAATCTGTGTGAATCCAACCAATGAGAAACAAAGGGGGGGCGGAGCTTTGGATACAAATGGACAGCAAGCAGCATGAAAAGGACGTTTGAGGAAGCCCAGGTCACATTGGTGAAACGCATTACGTCATAAGGGAGCGGAGCAAGGATCAGGAACAAGGAAGTGACAGGAGCAATTGACTTTTAAACAAATGCTTTTTGTGGGAACTTGTTTGTCACAAGCCCACATGTTGCAGTTTTAATTGTTTTACAATAAATATATATTTTTATACTGTGCCATTGGTGTGCTCCTGGTTCTGTTTCCCATACAGTGCTGCAGAAGAAAGATTGGTCTCTCTGAGGAACCAGATTGTGGGAATATTTCCCTCTCCATAGAAGCTTATCCCACCCAGAGCCAGGGTTCATTAGGCTCTGGGAAATG